GGTCCCTGTACGGCCTCCCATTGCTGCTGTCTCCATCGCCACACTCTGCCATGTGCCATGTGCCACTTTCAGGTCTCCTCACACACTGCTGGTGTGTAGAATTTTTTGACATAGGGTGCTGGCAGATTACGGGCCTCCTATAGCTGCTGCCAGGCCCCTAATCTGCCATGGGCCCCTATATACCCCCTCATCATGCTGCTGCCAGGTCCAGAGTCTCTCATGGGTCCCTGTACGGCCTCCCATTGCTGCTGTCTCCATCGCCACACTCTGCCATGTGCCACTTTCAGGTCTCCTCACACACTGCTGGTGTGTTGAATTTTTTGACATAGGGTGCTGGCAGATTACGGGCCTCCTATAGCTGCTGCCAGGCCCCTAATCTGCCATGGGCCCCTATATACCGCCTCCTCATGCTGCTGCCAGGTCCAGAGTCTCTCATGGGTCCCTGTACGGCCTCCCATTGCTGCTGTCTCCATCGCCACACTCTGCCATGTGCCACTTTCAGGTCTCCTCACACACTGCTGGTGTGTTGAATTTTTTTGACATAGGGTGCTGGCAGATTACGGGCCTCCCATAGCTGCTGCCAGGCCCCTAATCTGCCATGGGCCCCTATATATACCGCCTCCTCATGCTGCTGCCAGGTCCAGAGTCTCTCATGGGTCCCTGTACGGCCTCCCATTGCTGCTGTCTCCATCGCCACACTCTGCCATGTGCCACTTTCAGGTCTCCTCACACACACTGCTGGTGTGTAGAATTTTTTGACATAGGGTGCTGGCAGATTACGGGCCTCCCATAGCTGCTGCCAGGCCCCTAATCTGCCATGGGCCCCTATATATACCGCCTCCTCATGCTGCTGCCAGGTCCAGAGTCTCTCATGGGTCCCTGTACGGCCCCATTGCTGCTGTCTCCATCGCCACACTCTGCCATGTGCCACTTTCAGGTCTCCACACACACTGCTGGTGTGTAGAATTTTTTGACATAGGGTGCTGGCAGATTACGGGCCTCCTATAGCTGCTGCCAGGCCCCTAATCTGCCATGGGCCCCTATATACCGCCTCCTCATGCTGCTGCCAGGTCCAGAGTCTCTCATGGGTCCCTGTACGGCCTCCCATTGCTGCTGTCTCCATCGCCACACTCTGCCATGTGCCACTTTCAGGTCTCCTCACACACTGCTGGGTGTGTTGTTGAATTTTTTGACATAGGGTGCTGGCAGATTACGGGCCTCCCATAGCTGCTGCCAGGCCCCTAATCTGCCATGGGCCCCTATATACCGCCTCCTCATGCTGCTGCCAGGTCCAGAGTCTCTCATGGGTCCCTGTACGGCCTCCCATTGCTGCTGTCTCCATCGCCACACTCTGCCATGTGCCACTTTCAGGTCTCCTCACACACTGCTGGTGTGTTGAATTTTTTGACATAGGGTGCTGGCAGATTACGGGCCTCCCATAGCTGCTGCCAGGCCCCTAATCTGCCATGGGCCCCTATATACCGCCTCCTCTGCTGCTGCCAGGTCCAGAGTCTCTCATGGGTCCCTGTACGGCCTCCCATTGCTGCTGTCTCCATCGCCACACTCTGCCATGTGCCACTTTCAGGTCTCCTCACACACTGCTGGTGTGTGTGTAGAATTTTTTGACATAGGGTGCTGGCAGATTACGGGCCTCCTATAGCTGCTGCCAGGCCCCTAATCTGCCATGGGCCCCTATATACCGCCTCCTCATGCTGCTGCCAGGTCCAGAGTCTCTCATGGGTCCCTGTACGGCCTCCCATTGCTGCTGTCTCCATCGCCACACTCTGCCATGTGCCACTTTCAGGTCTCCTCACACACTGCTGGTGTGTGTAGAATTTTTTGACATAGGGTGCTGGCAGATTACGGGCCTCCCTATAGCTGCTGCCAGGCCCCTAATCTGCCATGGGCCCCTATATACCGCCTCCTCATGCTGCTGCCAGGTCCAGAGTCTCTCATGGGTCCCTGTACGGCCTCCCATTGCTGCTGTCTCCATCGCCACACTCTGCCATGTGCCACTTCAGGTCTCCTCACACACTGCTGGTGTGTTTAATTTTTTGACATAGGGTGCTGGCAGATTACGGGCCTCCTATAGCTGCTGCCAGGCCCCTAATCTGCCATGGGCCCCTATATACCGCCTCCTCATGCTGCTGCCAGGTCCAGAGTCTCTCATGGGTCCCTGTACGGCCTCCCATTGCTGCTGTCTCCATCGCCACACTCTGCCATGTGCCACTTTCAGGTCTCCTCACACACTGCTGGTGTGTTTTTTTTTGACATAGGGTGCTGGCAGATTACGGGCCTCCCATAGCTGCTGCCAGGCCCCTAATCTGCCATGGGCCCCTATATACCGCCTCCTCATGCTGCTGCCAGGTCCAGAGTCTCTCATGGGTCCCTGTACGGCCTCCCATTGCTGCTGTCTCCATCGCCACACTCTGCTGCCATGTGCCACTTTCAGGTCTCTCACACACTGCTGGTGTGTTGAATTTTTTGACATAGGGTGCTGGCAGATTACGGGCCTCCCATAGCTGCTGCCAGGCCCCTAATCTGCCATGGGCCCCTATATACCGCCTCCTCATGCTGCTGCCAGGTCCAGAGTCTCTCATGGGTCCCTGTACGGCCTCCCATTGCTGCTGTCTCCATCGCCACACTCTGCCATGTGCCACTTTCAGGTCTCCTCACACACTGCTGGTGTGTAGAATTTTTTGACATAGGGTGCTGGCAGATTACGGGCCTCCCATAGCTGCTGCCAGGCCCCTAATCTGCCATGGGCCCCTATATACCGCCTCCTCATGCTGCTGCCAGGTCCAGAGTCTCTCATGGGTCCCTGTACGGCCTCCCATTGCTGCTGTCTCCATCGCCACACTCTGCCATGTGCCACTTTCAGGTCTCCTCACACACTGCTGGTGTGTAGAATTTTTTGACATAGGGTGCTGGCAGATTACGGGCCTCCCATAGCTGCTGCCAGGCCCCTAATCTGCCATAGGCCCCTATATACCGCCTCCTCATGCTGCTGCCAGGTCCAGAGTCTCTCATGGGTCCCTGTACGGCCTCCCATTGCTGCTGCTGTCTCCATCGCCACACTCTGCCATGTGCCACTTTCAGGTCTCCTCACACACTGCTGGTGTGTTGAATTTTTTGACATAGGGTGCTGGCAGATTACGGGCCTCCCATAGCTGCTGCCAGGCCCCTAATCTGCCATGGGCCCCTATATACCGCCTCCTCATGCTGCTGCCAGGTCCAGAGTCTCTCATGGGTCCCTGTACGGCCTCCCATTGCTGCTGTCTCCATCGCCACACTCTGCCATGTGCCACTTTCAGGTCTCCTCACACACTGCTGGTGTGTAGAATTTTTTGACATAGGGTGCTGGCAGATTACGGGCCTCCTATAGCTGCTGCCAGGCCCCTAATCTGCCATAGGCCCCTATATACCGCCTCCTCATGCTGCTGCCAGGTCCAGAGTCTCTCATGGGTCCCTGTACGGCCTCCCATTGCTGCTGTCTCCATCGCCACACTCTGCCATGTGCCACTTTCAGGTCTCCTCACACACTGCTGGTGTGTAGAATTTTTTGACATAGGGTGCTGGCAGATTACGGGCCTCCCATAGCTGCTGCCAGGCCCCTAATCTGCCATGGGCCCCTATATACCGCCTCCTCATGCTGCTGCCAGGTCCAGAGTCTCTCATGGGTCCCTGTACGGCCTCCCATTGCTGCTGTCTCCATCGCCACACTCTGCCATGTGCCACTTTCAGGTCTCCTCACACACTGCTGGTGTGTAGAATTTTTTGACATAGGGTGCTGGCAGATTACGGGCCTCCCATAGCTGCTGCCAGGCCCCTAATCTGCCATAGGCCCCTATATACCGCCTCCTCATGCTGCTGCCAGGTCCAGAGTCTCTCATGGGTCCCTGTACGGCCTCCCATTGCTGCTGTCTCCATCGCCACACTCTGCCATGTGCCACTTTCAGGTCTCCTCACACACTGCTGGTGTGTTGAAATTTTTTGACATAGGGTGCTGGCAGATTACGGGCCTCCTATAGCTGCTGCCAGGCCCCTAATCTGCCATGGGCCCCTATATACCGCCTCCTCATGCTGCTGCTGCCAAGTCCAGAGTCTCATGGGTCCCTGTACGGCCTCCCATTGCTGCTGTCTCCATCGCCACACTCTGCCATGTGCCACTTTCAGGTCTCCTCACACACTGCTGGTGTGTTGAATTTTTTGACATAGGGTGCTGGCAGATTACGGGCCTCCTATAGCTGCTGCCAGGCCCCTAATCTGCCATAGGCCCCTATATACCGCCTCCTCATGCTGCTGCCAGGTCCAGAGTCTCTCATGGGTCCCTGTACGGCCTCCCATTGCTGCTGTCTCCATCGCCACACTCTGCCATGTGCCACTTTCAGGTCTCCTCACACTGCTGGTGTGTAGAATTTTTTGACATAGGGTGCTGGCAGATTACGGGCCTCCCTATAGCTGCTGCCAGGCCCCTAATCTGCCATGGGCCCCTATATACCGCCTCCTCATGCTGCTGCTGCCAAGTCCAGAGTCTGTCATGGGTCCCTGTACGGCCTCCCATTGCTGCTGTCTCCATCGCCACACTCTGCCATGTGCCACTTTCAGGTCTCCTCACACTGCTGGTGGGTTCCATTTTTTGTCATAGGGTGCTGGCAGATTACGGGCCTCCCATAGCTGCTGCCAGGCCCCTAATCTGCCATGGGCCCCCGTACCGACTCCTCATGCTGCTGCCAGGCCCGTAATCTGACATGGGCCCTGTTGTCGCTTGTTGGCATATTCCGCTCGTTCAGATGCTCCTTCTCCTGCTACTCCTCTTCACGGATTCCGTCAGCAGTCTTTCTTGGAATCCGTTTCCAAGAGACAAACAGTTTTGCGAGCACGCACCCGACGGTGCAGAAGCTGAACGTCCTCCTGTCCAAGTTGCTGCTGCCAGGCTCGTAATCTGTCATGCGCCCCTGTACCGCCTCCTCATGCTGCTGCCAGGTCCAGAGTGTGTCATGGGCCCCCGTACCGACTCCTCATGCTGCTGCCAGGCCCGTAATCTGTCATGGGCCCCTGTACCGCCTCCCCATGCTGCTGCCAGGTCCAGAGTGTGTCATGGGTCCCTGTACGGCCTCCCATTGCTGCTGCCAGGCCCGTAATCTGTCATGGGCCCCTGTACCGCCTCCTCATGCTGCTGCCAGGGTCCAGAGTGTGTCATGGGTCCCTGTACAGCCTCCCATTGCTGCTGTCTCTATCGCCACACTCTGCCATGTGCCACTTTCAGGTCTCCTCACACTGCTGGTGGTTTCCATTTTTGTCATAGGGTGCTGTATGGCCTCCCATTGCTGCTGCCTCCACCGCCACACTGTGGCTCCACACTCTGGTTTTGGCCCCGTGACTGCCCAAATGAGTGAAGTTTGCGGTGATTCTAAGATCGACGGCACTCATCTGCATGTCATACTGACTGACAGTATTATTTCTTTTCCCCAGCAGACTCCAAGGGCATTTTAAATTAAAGGTACAGTGTTCTGCACTAATATTAAGTCTCTCTGAAGCCTAGAAACACCCTTTTTTAAGTTAAATTCACAGCGAATTTATTCGACTCGAATCGAATATTGTCCACGAATTCGCCGAATCAGTCGAATCGAATTTTTCATTTCTTCGCTCATCTCTACTTATGATGTGTGTGTATTAGTTCACAATCAGGACTGCTGCTAAGGGTTAGTTGTAATTATTGATTATACCCATAAGCGCAATAGCACTTTTTTCATTTTTTCATGGATTGCACCATTACCTCTTCGTGCTACAAGAGTGAGACTTCCAAACAATCATGTACAAGCGTTATCCAGATTAAACTCACTTCAGCGAACACTAAAGAACAGGCCTGAAGGACCATTGCCTTTATGAAAATAATCTTTGACAATGAACACGCTGAGCCTCTTCTAGACCATGACAAGTGCTGGTATCTGCCTTTTTTGGAGTGTATCATCCACATAAACCAAAACAAATCAGGGTATTTGAGTCCAGTGCTAAGCATCAAGGCGTATCCCTGAATGATATTCTCACTGTTCCTAACTTAGGTGTCCATTTATGACACAGAGAATACCTGCGATTCAAAGGATCTCAGCTATTCTCTGGTCATTCACAGTTTATGACACTCAGGAGATCATGTCAGCCCTTCACTGGAGATCTGTGTTCTCCCTCCAGATTCTCCAGCCCAGAGCTGGAGAATCAGAGGGACCGCAAACTAAGCAGAGATAATTTACCTCTGTTTAGTAAACTGATCTTTTACTGTAATCTCAAGAGATTATAGTAAAATCAGCCGTTTTCCAGAGTTTGTAGACCGTTCTCCAGCGTTTGGAGACCGTTCGTTCGGAGAACTGCTTCATAAACTGCATTCACAGGAGAACTGTGTTCTCCGAGAATGAAGGAGAACTGAGCAGCGATCTATTACCGCTGGTTCATAAATGGACACCTCTACCAGCAACCTTGTAGGAGTACTTATGAGGTTAAGAAGAGAGCCAGTTGCCATAACTGTTGACATTGAACAAATGTTCCATTGCTTTATAGTAATAGAAGACCATAGGAACTTCCTAAGGTTTCTGTGGCACCGTGACTACAACATACACAATGGAGTGATTGAACACGTCTTTGGAAACAGTCCTTTGTCTGCTGTTGCAACACATGGTCTATGAAGGACTGCTCTTGATGGCAAAAAAGAGTATGGTGCAGATGCTCGACACTACAGTGAGAGAGACTTCTACATGGACGACGGACTCAAATCTTTACAAACAGATGTAGAAGCCATAGACCTGCTTCAAAGGACTCAAGTTATGCTTTCTGAGGCCAACTTCATACTCCATAATGTTGCCTCAAACAGTGATGCTATGATGAAAGTCTTTCAGCCTAGTGATCTTGTCACAGTATTTAAGATTTAAATCTGGGAACGAACATGCCTCCTGTTCAGAGAAGTCTGGGCTTACAGTGGAACCTAATAAAAGACACCTTCAGCTTTCAAGTCAGCTCTGCAGACAAGCCATTTGCGAAACCTGGTGTTCTGTCAGTGACAGCTATCAGAGAGTATTAAAGATTGGGATGCTCCATTACCAACATAGAAACATTCAAAACGGGAGTCCTGGAAACAATCTCTACATGTCTTAGATGGAATCAACATACCACGCTGCTATACTTCAGCTTTCTTTGCTGCAAGTCAGAGAAAAGAGATTTATAAATGTCAAGTGTAGGCAAGTGCTGGAACTATAAAGCAGCTAGCACCAAGGTATAGGTAACAACTCCTTATGGATAAATATATAGAAAGTGCAGTGCTAAAATAAGTGAATTATATTATAGTGAAATTAAAGTGCAAAGTCAATCTGACATATCTGACCTTCTGCTCTCTAGTTCCTGTGTCACGTCCTCCCACGATCACCTTCAGGACTTCTCCGAGCTTCTCCCATCCTATGGAACTCCCTACCCCAATCTGTCCGGCTGTCTCCTAATCTATCCACCTTTAGATGATCCCTATAAACCTTTCTCTTTAAAGAAGCCTATCCTGCTTCTACCTACCATTTATTTCCTCCATCAGCTTATCCCCCACAGCTATTACCTTTTGTATCACTCAACCCCTCCTCCTAGATTGTAAGCTCTAATGAGCAGGGCCCTCTGTTTCCTCTTGTAACAAATTGTATTGTAACTGTAATGTCTACCTTCATTTTGTAAAGCGCTGCGCAAACTGTTGGCGCTATATAACTCCTGTATAATAATGATAACATATAGCAAAAAATAAAAATTGATCAGCGGAACAGTCAAGTGCAGCATATAAAAATCAAATATAAAAAATGTTCAATAAATCATTCAATAAATGTGAAACAGTAAAGAGAGAATATATGAAGTCCATAAAATATCAGTGGAGTAAGAGTTATAAATTGTCCGTAAGGATATAAGTACAGCAATCACAGTGAAATATTGTGAAGTGATCCAATAGGGAAACCACCACCTCTGTCAGATGTACACTCACCAGACATCTACTGGTAAACAGCATGTAAGTACATCTCATCTGGGTACAGGTAACAGCAATGAAGCCTCTGCAAGGGATGCTCAGCCAAGGGCAAAAAATGCAGGTGGACCCTCTCCTATGAGGAATGGCTCACCACAGGAGCCAAAAGTAGTATATAGTGTAGTGTAGTGTAGAGAAAAGAGATTCACATCTTTTCAGATGCATCCACTGAGGCCATAGCAACTGTTGCCTACCTCAAGGTAAGAGACTCTCTCAATCAAACCCATGTAGGGTTTCTTTCTGGCAAAGCTAAGTTAGCACCTAAGCCTGAGCACACAGTTACCAGGTTTGAACTTTGTGGGACTGTGCTAGCCATAGAAATTGCAGAATTTATACTGTGTAAGCCAGACATTCAGATAGATGACATCAAATTCTACGCAGACAGTTGTTTTGGGCTACATATACAATCAGAAAAAAACGCTTCTATGTCAGCAACTGGGCAGAAAGAATCAGAAAATTCTCAAGGCCTAAACAATGGCATCATGTTCCATCATAGTTTAATCTTGCAGATCATGCCACTACGTCAGTGTCTGCCATAATCAATTCAAGACCACTTGTTCCAGTGTCTACAGATCCAGAGTCCCCAAACATCCTTACTCCAGCTACTCTTCTTATCCAGAAGCTTAGATCTGTTCCTCTTCCACCTGGAGACTTTAAATCAGGGAATCTATACCATGATCAATGTAATCGTGTACAACACCTTGCCGACTGCTTCTTGAATCATTGAAAGATTAGGTATCTTTCTCTTCTGCAATGAAGCAGAAAATGGCAATATCTGATCTCTAATCTCCAAATTGGAGACCTAGTTCTGCTCAAAGTCTAGCAAGCTCAAATACTTGAATGGCCAATTGGTTTCATTGTAAAGACCATTCCCAGTGATGACGTTAAAGTACATAAGGTAGAGGTTAAAGTTGCCAGACAAGGTACTGTATAGGCTTTCCGCAGACCCATTACAGAACTTGTTTTGCTCTTGGGAACTGAACTTTATCTGGGTTTGTTGGATCCTGGCCCACCTCAAGAAGAATGTGCCTTGAACTTTCATGGACATTACTTGATACCTTATTGCTGTTATATGCATTTTTTTTTTCCCTTATGTATTTCAGGTCAACTGCAAATTTAACTGTTGTTTATTTGCTTGCATAACTACCGTTACAATGTAATATAGTGGTATCTTACAATACCAGACAGAGAGTGTGCTGTCACACTAAGGCTACGTTCACACTAGCGTTGTGTGCAGGCGGCAGAGAGGCGTTTGGGAAGCGTTTTTACCGCTTCCCAAACGCCTCTGCCAATTCTGCACATTACAGCACATGGTGCTGTTCTAACGGGAGCGTTTGCGTCGCAGCAAAACGGACGCCTCTGGTCGAGTCAGGAGGAGTTGAAGCCTCCTATTCTCGTCTATGGTGCCGCTCCGAAAAGGCCCGGCCGGCGTTTGCGGTTCGGTTGCGATGCGGGGCGTTTGCAAAGCGGTAACAGCACTCAAACTGCATTATAGGTGTTTGTGGGGCATTATTAATGCTCGGCAAACGCCTAGCAACCACTGCTAAACTGCGCATGCGGCGTTTGTGGAGCGTTTGCCAAGCGTTAAAAACGCTCCGCAAACGCCGGACCAACGCTTGCCAAACGCTATAGGGGCGTTTGGCAAGCGTTGACAAAACAGCCAAGTGTGAACGAGCCCTTATTGTGTAACAATATGACACAGTACATAGTTATGGTTAATGTTAATATACTGCCATCTTGTGGACATTTTATGCACCATCCTTTTCTGTTCTCTGTTCCCTCCCATTATGCCTATCTGTGATGCATTTCCTCTTCCTTCTTCACCGTCTTCATGGAATGAATATGGCCACTTATCTCTAGGCCTCATGCAAATCTGCTCACATCCAGGGACACATTAGCATGCTTTGATCTGCAAATAAAGTCCTTTCATTTATCTGTTACATCTTGTTGTCTGCTATAATCAAGCTGCATTCAATAAAGACCTTTCACAGATCAGAAATCAGTGTTTGGTGAGTTCAGCTGTCTAAGAAAGGCTGTCTGCAGTGATTGTATCTGCTTATACAGGCCTAGCAAAGAGGTCTCAGCAAGGGACAAGTCACAATTACAACAGTTGGAATCACAATAGTCAAAACATGGTAGAATTCCTACGGCCTTCTGTGTATATGTGTGTGTCTAATCTGCAGTCAAGCTCAGTGTCATCCTCAGAATAAATAGAGAGCTTTTTACATCCATATATGTAATAAGCTGCAGCATATTATAAACAACTGATTCAATAAAATTCAAATTATGACTAGAGTGATGCATTTCACTCACACTTCTTATAAATTTAGAGAAAGCCACCCAAAGTATTATTTACTCAACTTTTGTGATTCTACCCAGTCTGAGTGTCAGTATGCAAATACTCAGAAACCCATTAAGTTATGCTATGCAAAGCTATTGTGTAGCATCTCACTTTAGAAGTTACATATATACTATGGTATGATAATGATTATAGGGTTTAAATGCCTCTTTCTGGTTTTAAGATAAAGATCAAGAGATAAAAAATAATGAAAATAAGATTTAAGAAAAAATAGGTAGGGGAAGGGGAAAAAAGAAATCACGATGCTAAGTCCAGTGTTTGATAAATACTTAGAGAGTCCATTATTTTTAAAGTCCTTGCAATTTGATGTATGGTGGTCCCAGCACAAATTACACATTTATTTATACTTTTATCTTCCCCCACTAGCAAACAGTTACAGGCCAAAATGTGTAGACTTCTAGTGCTCTTGTAATTCGCCTGTAAAAGAGTGTTTCTGGTCACACAGAATAATACCTCTCCAACATCTGAAAGACAAGAAATTCTCCAATAAAAATTCATTTGCAAAGTTCTTATCATTGTGTGTGAAGATAAAAACAAAGTACTGTTTACATTTTTACAGCCCTATGCTAATTGACCCTCACTACCATAGAGGTGTAATTTTTATTCAAAGACAGATCCGAAGGACTCCCACCTCCTGGCGCTTCTGTACCTCTGGCATCCTGTAATATCCTCAATTGCTCAAATAATTTGTCGCGTTTTACCTTCATTTTGTCATATTCAATTTTTAGATGGTCATATTTGTGTTTTAACTAAGAAAATGGTATCCAGGTCTTGGACTTTTTCTTTATATTATTTTGATTAGCTTTGTTTTGCACGTTCAAATGCATGTCTATTACCAACAAAAGTTCCATAATAGTAGCTATCCTGCATGACAATTCATATGGAGACTCATGCAGCATTTGTTTGACCTTGCCATGAATAGTAACATCAGCCCATACATTATACAACACACACAATAATTCCAGTAATATATCCCATATTCTAAAAGGCTGAATACAGATCTGTTTAAATCTCACCCAAAGAGTTTTTCCTAAAGAATTTTGCATGACTCTTTCTATATCAGATGGATTTAGATTGTACATACCTCTGGCATGTTGCAAGTCACAAAACCACTAAAGTCTAAACCATGGCGAAGAACCATTTCTATTTCTTTACGAACTGGGTCTAATTCTTTTGGGTTTCAAAGGTTTCATTACAAGCTGTACTTCACCTATATTATTCATATTGTTGTAAACTTTGTTAGTCACAGTGGGTGCAGCTGGCAATGAAATGTCAGATTTGATATGAGAATCTTTATCATTTAATGGGAAGTATGATTTGTATTTTGCTGCAGATTGCTGGATTTGGTACATATCTGCATTCTTTTGATCTCTCAAATTCCATAATTCCTAATTTAAATCTCTCATTTTCCTCTGATAATTTATCACAAAGTTTACATTTTTTCAATCAAAAGTTCCCCAATAGTAACTGCATGCAATTTTAAATTCACAGTTTCAGTTTCTGATCGGTTTTGTAACATCTTGCAGTTCTTGCTGCTTCTATCAAATGCATTCTTTAGCTCGGTAATTTACAACCATTTCTCTTACTTTCTGAAATTTTGCTATCAAAAACATTTTTCTCTAAAAATTCCTTCATTATAATCCACATCTGCTTACTTTTTTCTGGAATTTCATGACCGCCATGATGTTTAATACATTTTAACACCCATCTATTAACTTTATTAGAACTGACACTAGCCTCACACTTAGTAAGCATTTGAATATATTACTAATATTTACAAAAAGGAAATATTGTTCACTCACTGCATTTGAGGCAAAGTCTTGAAGTTACTTCTGCAGCTTCCAGTGCAAGTCTGCTGGTCCATGGCATAGACATTAGTTTAGTCTTTCCAGTCTCCAGAGAATACTTCTAGGGTTCCAAACTTCTTGGATCAGATGCTTAAGTTACCCCCAGACTTTTGAGTCACAGGACAGCTTCTGGGTCCACCTCACAGGACTGTTGTCATGACCGACTTCTGTTACTGAGCCCGAAAAATGCTCTTCTAGTAACTTGGACGGCACCAATATGTTGTCATATATCAAGGATGAGGAGTGATAATTCTATTTATTGTAGTTGAGGAAAGAGTTAACTAGCCGATGCTGAATGCCAAAACTCCTCTATTCAAGAAATACATTTTCCGGCAAGCAACTTGGTTCATCCAGAAAGATGCATTTATTATGTTTTGGCACAGGACACAAGATACCTAGAACAGATGACAAAATCCAGCAGAATATTTGATAAAATACTTTATATCAAGCATAGAGACACTGCATAATCCAGCATATGTCCAATCTATAATATGCACCTAGGTAGCTTCCATGCATGCAATAATGTGTGCAATGATCTAGACCTGTGCTTCCATAATGACCGAATGAATGAATCTTGTCTTAACAGGCTAAACTTCCCTTCATATACAGTTTACTACTGGTAAGCAAAGCTGGAGGGATTCTGATTGGCCGACAAAACACCTGATCTTAACATGAAAAGACTTAATTTGTCATTACTGTAAATAGCAATTAAAGTCACTATAGTGTTTACCAGGTAAATAAGTCACCCTTTCACCATTTCCCATGAATACCCCCTCAAGTCTATTTACCATTAATAAATACTTCTGTATGGTCAAATCACATTTTTATCATCCTTAACTATATAAACAATGTACCATTTGAAATGCTTAACCAGACAAATCTGCATTTTACAATCCCTTGTAAGTAACCTTGCAAATAGCATCCTTTGAAAATTTTAATTGGATAGCAGAGAGCCATTAGCTATCCTTTTATTGTTCCCAGAGATTTGTGCTGCACTGCCCCCTAGTAACCCAAAAAACAAACTAACAATAAGCACCCTCCTGAGCATCAAACCCAATGTGTAAATAAATAGATCTGTGAAACAAATAAAGTTGATTAATAAGAAAACTGGCTGAGCCACTAAATCCAAATGATACGTGAAATGTATATAAAAAATAAAACACAATCAAGTAGCAATAAATACCTGGGCAAGTTATGATAAACACCCTACTGAACTGAAGAATATAGTGTAAAAACCAACAAGAACAGTGATAAATATGTGAAATGTTTATCAGATAGAACACAATCACAGTAGCAGTAAACACATGGTCGAGTTATAATAAACACCTGGCTAAGCTGAAGCAGAAAATGTGAAAACCAACAAAAACAGTAATAAATATTTGTAAAATAAATGCCGGGCTGAGCAATCAGCCCTCCAATGGAGTAAATCAGTGATAAATCAAGTGAATGCTCAACTGGGCTAGATAAAACTGCATAATGGAAAAGATAAGCAGTGATACTAAATAATATACACATTTCATATATTGATCACTGTTCTTGTTGGTTTTACCACTATATTCTTTAGCTCAGCTGTGTGTTTAATATAACTCGGACAGGTGTTTATTGCTACTTGATTGTGTTTTATGTTTGATATACATTTCACATATAATTTGGATTTAGTGGCTCAGCCAGTTTTCTTATTATTATTTATTGACTTTACTTATTTCACAGATCTATTTATTTACACATTAGGTTTGATGCTCAGGAGGTTGTTTATTTAATATTAGTTTGTTTCTTGGGTGACTAGGGGGCAGTGCGGCACTATTCTTGGGGAATTTTATTGATGTGGGAAAACATTTAGGTGCTTGCAGCAGCTTATCATTTATTTGTGGCAGCGCTTGAGTATGGTATCCTTATCCTTTTGTTCTGTCAAACATAACTGACCTGTGTCAAAACATGGCCTGCATAAGAATGTATATATATATATATATATATATATATATATATATATATATATATATATATACACACTATATTGCCAAAGTTATTGGGACACCTGTCTTTGCACGCACATGAATTTTAATGGCATCCCAGTCTTAGTCCATAGGGTTCAATATTGAGTTGACCCACCCTTTGCAGCTATAACAGTTTCAACTCTTCTGGAAGGCTGTCCACAAGGTTTAGGAGTGTGTCTATTGGAATGTTTGACCATTCTTTTAGAAGCACATTTGTGAGGTCAGGCACTGATGTCGGATGAGAAGGCCTGGCTCCTAGTCTCCACACTTATTCATCCCAAAGGTGTTCTATTGGGTTGAGGTGAGAACTCTGTGCAGGCCAGTCAAGTTCCTCCACCCCAAACGCGCTCATCCATGTCTTCATGGACCTTGCTTTGTGCAATGGTGTGCAGTCATGTTGGAACAGAAAGGGACCATCCCCAAACTGTTCTCACAAAGTTAGGAGCATAAAATTGTCCAAAATGTCTTGGTATGCTGATGCCTTAAGAGTTCCCTTCACTGGAACAAAAGGGGCCAAGCCCAAACCCTGAAAAATAACCACACACCGTAATCCCCCCTCCACCAATTTTACACTTGGCAAAATGCAATCAGGCAATTACCGTTCTCCTGGCAATCACCAAACCCAAACACACCCACCGGATTTCCAGTCAGAGAAGCGTAATTTGTCACTCCAGGGAAAACATCTCCACTGCTCTAGGGTCCAGTGTGGTGGCGTGCTTTATTCCACTGTATCCGACGCTTTGTATTGCACTTGGTTATGTAAGGCTTGAATGCAGCTACTCGGCCATGGAAACCCATTCCATGAACCTCTCTAGGCACGGTTGTTGTGCTAATCTGAAGTTTGGAGGTCTTTAGATATGGACTCTGCAGACAGTTGGCGACTTCTGCACATTGTGAGCTTCAGCATGTGCTGACCCTGCTCTGTCATTTTAAGTGGCCTACCACTTTGTGGCTGAGTTGCTGTTCTTCCCAGTTGCTTCCACTTTGTTATAATACCACTAACAGTTGACCGTGGAATATTTAATAGCAGGGAAATTTCCCGGATGGATTTATTGAACAGGTGGCAACCTATCACAGTAACACGCTTGACTTCACTGAGCTTCTGAGAGCGACTTATTCTTTCACAAAAGTTTGTAGAAGCAGTCTGCATGCCTAAGCGCTTGATTTTATACACCTGTGGCCATGAAGGTGATTGGAACACCTGAATCCAATGATTTGGAGGGGTGTCCCAATACTTTTGGCAATATAGTATATACTGTATGTGCGCAATGCAATGCAACAAACGCAGACCGGAAAGGCCCCAGGGCCCGATGGTTTCACTCTTTCATACTACAAAACTTTATCTATTCTGCTTGGTTTCTATTTTGTTCAGGGATCTAAATTTCTAAATTAGGGTTATTGATTGGTGCCAATGTGTCCCAGTTAGACAATGAGAAGCACCTCTTCACCCAATAATAGGGAATTCATTTTTCTCTCTGGGATTGGAAGACTCTGGCTTTCTGGAACTCACCAGCAGAAATATTCAAAGGGTTCAAAATGTTCTATACAACCACAGCTGGCCCTCACTTGAACACCTGAGCACAGATTTGTGCCTCATTTATTTAGGTAGAACTGCTCAACTATATAATTTCCTTAGATCCTCATTCCCCCATGAGAGAATTTACCTGACAGCTCACAATATTTGACCGCGAATATATTCAACAGGAACCTCTCAGACATACTGGGATTGATTTATTAAAACTGGAGAGTGCAAAATCTGGTGCATCTCTGCACAGAAACTGATCAGCATCTAGGTTTTATTGCCAAAGCTTAATTGAACAAGCTGAAATTTGAAGTTGATTGGCTACCATGTACAGCTGCCACAGATTTTGCACTCTCCAGTTTTTAGTAAATCAACCCCACTGTTTCCTTAATGTATTGTCATGGAAATTTTCTATTACAGGTTGTCCTTTAAATGTGTCATATATTAGTGTTATTCATATGTCTCTCGTGTGGCTTAATTAAAGCTCTGAAGGCTGCAATTAGGCCATGCGCATTTACAATGTATATATATTACAGTACTCAGTTCGGTAATGGATGAGATGGCAGATCTGCGCTTATAGACCGGCGTGTATGCCACCACGGCATTCGATGCGAATGCCACCGGCGGTAGGCCGCGGGTTTGTATCCACATATCATCAGCATAGTACCACATGGACTTTGTATGGCCAGGCGCCAGGCAGTGCAAACTCCGCGTGTAGGCTCATGTACATCTCTACAAGCCACTACCGACCTGAACTGTATCTGGATGGATGTGTTTTTTAATAAAGATCGTATCGGGCCCATTCAGATACAGACTGGCACTGTTTAATCTAAGGGATGCTTGTACAGACAATGAACATACTGCTGGGAGCTGATAGCATGTAAATAATGGGAAACTCGCTCTCCAAAGCGATCTTATGGGGGAGGTCAGAAAAACTGGTTTAACTGGTTAAGAGGGAACTTTGCACTCCGAGCAGGATGGACATTCTCGTGTATGGACACTCCCTATACATTGTTCTGTGGGAGGGGATTGACTTGGCCCCGTGCGCAGGGTGTGTTTTGTAAGATAATAAAAACAGGAGTCTGGTGTTAGACCCAGGGAGAGTGGATTCCAACTTCAACCTGGGAGTATCGTCTGATTTATTCCTGGATTACTGGAGCTCCATTTCCCCACATCTCAAAAGAGCTAAACCTTTGCACACCGGTTGGAGGCGCAGGAATCGTGGAGCTAAGCTGCAGTCGCGGTAAGTGAAGGGCGCAATACGGTTGCAGCGAAGTTTGCACAGCTTTATGGGGGATTTCTGCGCATCCAACTGCGGGCACTCACGGTAAGGAAAATTAATTCAAAGCGAATTTCCAAGACAGTATGCATACCATTCCACCGAAAGGCTTCATCCCTCCATACATCACAAAATCTTAACAAGATCTCTATCTCATGTTGATGCCAGAACAAACCGGTGACATCCTTTTTCACACACGTAAAACATATAACATAATATACCAACAGTCAGGATATAAAATATACTGACAAGATAGTACATGACCACACTGGTCCCAATTGTTCTCATGGTTTCTGTTGCATGTCGGGGATTCAGTCAAGCTACAGAAGACATCTTACCTCCATTACAGACAGGCAGTTACACTCTGACAGGAAGCTCAGTGAACTACTTAGAGCGCTCAACAGTATCCTGGTAGTTCATTGAGAACTATAGTACTTGTAGTTTTGACATTCACAATTTTAGATTGTGACAGCAAGCGGGGGGGAGAAGATCCCCCACTAGCTGTCAAAATGGGCGATTGAGGGGGTGTGGAGGCTGGTGCATCTGTAACATATTATATGTTACACCCTGAATATGGGTGTAACATGTAACATGTTACAAAAGGTGAACTTATCCTTTAAGTTCACTTTACCACAGAAAATATCTGGCTCAGCAAAGCAAATAAGCAAAGGAACAAATTCAACAAATAAGAGCTCTAGCTAATATACTGCTAAAGAAATTACTCCGGCTATAAAAAGGATGTGCAGACATACTGCTATGTTATAAATCTGGATTTAAAATATGACATTTTTAAATATAGCTAAATTTTGGGGTTTAAGAACACTGTATGCTAGGTTTAGTCATAGTCTTTAAACACTTGGAACATACTTGCCTCAAAGAGAAAAAATCTGAATACGTGGGTGTAAGACAAACACGTTTGGGCAGTGGCATGTGCAAGAGCATACCATAGTGTAAAGATTTTCTCCACTCCTTTGTTGGTTTAGAAAACAGTTATCCTGACGTAACAACTGTTCTTGAGCTAAATATGTATTTAGGATGAGACACAGACCAAAAAGGTGAAGTGTTTTGTGAAAATGATAACTTGCAGACACCTGAATCACAGAGTTTATGGCTTCCTGCATATAGCAAAATGTCATAAGGGATTTTGCCACTGTATAATTCATGTTTAGCGTATAATTCATTGATCAGAAAATAAGGCCATTTAAAGGCTAAGAGAGAGAGAATGAAAGGGTTTACACCTACAACCATACAGCTTAAAACTCGCAACATGGGGTGGTTCTAACAGTACTTTTAAAAAGTATGTGTCACTGACCCGCAGTCAGGAACACATTCTGGGCACTATATAGCTATCTGGTCGTCATTTAGACTTGTTATCACAGTGTCTGTCAAAAGGTCTTCCAGCACCAACTTTCTTTGTGGATCTGGGATGTAATGTGAGCCAATGCCCAGAGCCGCAAAGAACGATTATAAAGGAGGTAAATGGAACGGACATGAATATTGCCCATCAATGTGGCAATATGGGATAGTATGTGATACACTTTCTTTAGCACACAAGAATCTGTCCCTACCAATGGATCTCTGTCTGTAGGGGTACCCTAGTGCCATTTTGATGATCTGTCAATCTTATTGGGTGGTGGAAATATTTAATTATTTGTTATATTTATTGAAAATTGACAATAAAAAAGTCTTGTGAGTACATAACATATTTACTATTTTTAGAAAATATTTATTGTTGTCTTTTATGGAAAAATGTACTGTGCATATTTTAGGATTTGGATTGTCTCATAAGATATATTAGCACCTAAAAAAACAAAAAGCTGAGGCTGGGCATGTGCGGGTTTTTCTTTTTTCATATTTTAAGTCTGTCTAAATTTAGAAGATGGAGAGGAATGAGGGTGAAAGTGTTTTAATTGTTAAAAGAGGAACTGAGTTCTGAAAGTAGTTCTAGTATTGCCCATGGTCTCTCTTCAGTATATCTGACTTACAATGTTTTATTATGTACTGTCGTGTGTGGAGGCGGCCATCTTTGTAGAGAGAGGGCTTTGCCCTTTGCAAGTTGTGAGGTATGGACATACTGCTATGGGGCTGCATGCTAACAACTGCACTGCTATTTTTCGGGAGGGATTTTAGAAAAATTCATACCAGCTTCACCACCTCCTCTCTCCTTTCTGCACCCCATCCCACTATCCAGTCGAACTTTTTCAACTCATTTATTTATTTATTTCAGGTACTTATATAGCGCCATCAATTTACGCAGCGCTTTACATATATATTATACATTCACATCAGTCCCTAACCCTCAAGGGGCGTACAATCTAAGGTCCCTAACTCACATTCATATACAAGGGCCAATTTAGACAGGATCCAAATAACCTACCTTAAGGACTTATTGTACACCAATGCATTTACATACCATGTTTTAAGTACTTGTATGCCAATATTACCATTATCATCCTTTACTTTATAAATTGTATCATTTTTATCCTTTTCACCCTTACACTACTTTACTCCTGTCTGCCAGAGTTACTTGTTTTTTACTATATGTTTGCTATGCCATTTTTGTGCTGCCAGAGCTGAAGTTTTTTACTTCGTATTTTCGATACCTCATCACCATGGAGTTTATCTCATATATTGAAAAATCCAAATATGCTATGCTTGATGAGTTTTATGCCTTATTTCCAACTGAATTTTTTGTACACAGATATATGGTCCCTGATCACCGTCGCCCTACATTGAGCACACAGTTCAAAAGGTTAGAGGATACGCTCTCTTCGACCAACCAACAATGGTGGGATGGCTTTTTTTAGAACAGTACATCAACCACAAAATCTCCCCTAGGGGTCTCAGAGTACTTAAACAGTGTTCTTTTTGGACCCTGATCTTTCAAAAGAATGGTCCTATATATCCACTTTTTGTACTGAGAAGTGGATGCAGGTCATTAAAAAGCAAAGCGATAGGAAACTCTTAGCTATTAAAGAGAGGATCAATATAAACATCAACAAAATTATCCTTTCCATTTCACCTTTACCGATTGCATGGCTTCAAACCCTTAAAAAAAGTACCAAAAAAATCGAAGATGACATCATTAAGAACAAAATAGGCAAATTTAGGAGAGACCTAGGTGATTTTGGTTTCTATAGAATCTTTTGTTGGAAAAAACCGCATCAAGTCTATCCACTTCCCCATGGTCCACCGATGCCACTTATGCTATGCTGTCCATTTAGTAAGGTGTCCACTGTACCCCCTAACAAATCTACAGCACTCAATCCACTCATACGCAACAGATCTACCATTCCTATGTCACTCCCCAACCCCCATCCCTTACCGAAGCGTCAGAGGAAACCGAGGA